TGTACCTCTAGTCACTTGTGTCTCTGCCGAGATTGCATTGATCAAAGTTCTTAAGCCTTTCGGTTGTTTTCCTTTACCTTATCTCAGTCATTGTATAAACTGTTTTCTTTATTCTGCTCACTTCATTCTATATTCATTCACACAAGTCCTAGGTTTTTCTGAATGTGTCCATTCATCATTTCTTAAAGAACAATAATATTCCAACATATGCATATATCAATATTCAATTAGCTATTTCCCAGTTGAGGCAAACACTTTGTTTCTAGTTCTTTGCTGGAACAAAAATACTGCCATAATTATTTTTGTACATGTTGGTGATTTCCTTCAGTTTTTGAACTCTTTAGGGTACATGCCTACTCACGCTATCTATTGATTGGGGTCATTCAATTTAGTCACTTAGGGAGTATTGTTCCAAATTGCTTTCCAGAATCAGACCACAATTTCAGACCACTTTGTAGGTCCACCAGACGTGCATTAATGTACCTTTCTTCTGCTCTGACAATCAGCATTTTTTTTTCATCATTTTTGCCCATCTGATGGGTGTGAGGTATAACTGCAGATTGTTTTGATTTTTGTAACTCATTAGTGATTGGAAACATTTTTTAATCTGCATGTGTATAGTTTGCATTTCTTCTTTTGAAAACTGCTTACTGAAATCCTTTGATCATTTATCTATTTTGTTGTTCAGTTATTTCAGTCATGTTTAACTCTTTGTGATCCCATTTGGATTTTTCTTGGCAGAGATACTGGAGCAGCTTGCCATTTCCTTCTCCAGCTCATTTTACAGATGAGGAAATTGAGGCAAACAGGGTTAAGTGACTTTCCCAGGGTCATATAGGTAGTAAGTACCTGAAGCTGGATTTGAAACTCTTTATGACTCTAGGCCCAGCCCTCTATCCATAGTGCCACCTAGCTGCCCATTTATCTATTTGGGGAATAGTTTTTTTTTTTCCCCCTCTATTTTTATTACTTCCTTCTGGAGCTAAAATATCAGTTGTGCAGACTCTTCCATAAAATCAGTGTAGCCACATTATAACAAGGAAAGAAACAAAAGAGCTATAAGAAACTTTTAAAAAATCAATCAGAATAAACAGAAAGAACATAATGAATACAGAAATTCTGCTTTCTAATTCAATTCAGTTCAATAAGAATTTGTTTACCTATTGTGAGCCATGCATTGTGCTAAGATGTAAGGATACAAAAATGAAGAGTTCGATAATCCCTCCTTCAAGGAGCATATTTTCTACCCTGACTCAATTTTCAATGTCCTTTGTCGGTTCTTTGGTCAATTTCTTTTTCCTTCTTTGTCATAAGGCTAGTAAGTTGGCATACAGTAGTAGAAAGAACACTGTATTGTAGCCAATTAGGGTACAGGTCTCAACTTGGACAAATCACTTAACTTTATTTAAGCCTTTGTTTTCTCAGTATTTTGTCATGGAAAATTATTCTTTCACTAATTATGGTATCCAGAAGTGGAATGAACTATCCTCCCAGTTCCCCAGGCAACCTAAGACTAAGTTACAGAACAAGGGTCAGTCTGCCTTGGAAGAAGTAGTTTCCTTATTAGGAGTTCCTCACACCAATGAAATCTCAAGTCTCATTCTGCCTTCCCTCCCCCCAATCATGTTGTTAAGAATTTTAGTATGTTTGTGTATGGAAACTATAAAGTGGAACCATAGTTTAATTAAACTAGAGTGTCACAGAACCAAAGAATCTCTGAGTTAGAAGACAGTTAATCTAAGACAAAACCGACTAAATCAAGAATCCCACTGAACACTGCTTAACCACCTCCATTTATGGGGAAGTCATTCATGTCAAAGGATGTCCTATTTTGGGGGCAATTCTAATGTGTAGGATAGTTTTCCTTACATAGGGTTGAAATTTGTCTTTGCTATACTTCTACTTACTGTCTTAGCTCTGCCCTCTGGAGCAAACCTGTAAATCTTTCTTTTTTATTTGAGAACCCTTCAAATATTTTGACAACTATTCTGTACCTCTTCAGTCTTTTCTTCTGGCTAAACATTGCTAAGTCCTCAAAATTTTCTATGGTATGTATAGCTTGGGTAAAACTCTACTCTGCTCCCTTACCAACACTCACACACACACACACACACACTCTTAAGGGATGATGACTTTTAGTACAGCCGAAAACCTCATTAGTTCTTTTGTCAGACACAACACATTGCTAACTCGTATTGAGTTTGCAGTCCACTAAAACCTTTGTGTATTTTTTCCTGTTTCGTGGGCTTGTTTTTTTTTCCCTCCTCCCCATTTTGTATTTTGTTTTTGAGTGCAGGATGCTACATTTGATAGTACTAAATTTCAACTTTTACAGATTCAGAGTTGGAAGGGAACTCAGAGACTAGTTAGTCTAACTTATATTTGACCAACAATCCCCTCTATCACAAAACCTCCACTACTGGTCAATCTGGTCAAAACAAAATGTACCTGGTTAGTTTGGGCCCATTGTCCCTGCTAGATCACAAGCACCAATTGCTTTGTACCTAATAGGCACTTAATGAGTATCTCTTGAATGATAACAAAATGAATCATGGTTTCTCATCATCAAATTGCTGGCAGTCCAAGAGCAGGGGAGGAAGCATTGCCACATACCATTCTAATGGGCCATGCTGATGGTAGGTGGTTCTAGTGGCCTCAAGACAGAACTCTCCATACTGGAATGTTTACTATTTCCTGTACACCCACATTACTTTAGGTATAATACATATCATTCACACGTGAGAGATTACCACAATGATTTCTACATAGCAGGGACTGATTCTCTTTCTGTCTTCGCATCTTCAGTACTCAGAACTGTACCTGGCACACAGTAGGTACTTAATAAATTTTTGATTGTTAGTTTATCGTTTGCTTATTAAGTGCTGGTTGAATTGAATTGCATCACATTCTAAGGTAGTATGTCATGAATATATATATGTATATGTGTGTGTATATATATATATATTGTATATGTGACTCATATACAATAATGTATATGTCATTAACTAAATGTGAGCTGAGAGCCAAAGCCCCTTGTCAGATGTCAGATGAAATGGCTGGATTTGTTGGCTGCGGAGGTCCTTTCTGGCTGTGTATGATCCTATAACGATATAATATCCTTAATAAATGCGTATGAGTTGCATAAATTAAATTTGAGCCCAGAGCCTTTGTATCTCTTGTGGGATGTAAAATGTGGAGGTTGGACCAGCTGGCCTCTGACTAAACAGGGACTGATTTTTTTTCCCTTTGTACTCCTGGTGCTTGGCATGGTGCCTGGCACACAGTATGTCTTTTTTTTTAAAATTTTTGATTTTATTCCGAACTTAAATGGAACAAGCATTTCCATAACAGTAGAATAGGGGGAAAAAGGTGATTGTACATTAAACTGCAAATCTATCCGTACAATTTGCTATTCCTTTTAAATATATAATAAATTCCTTTTAAATATATAATAAAGTTATCGTATAACTTTCTTTTTTTTTTCTTCTGTTGGTTGACTTGATTTTTGACTGACTCAGAAGTTTTTGCTTGAGTCAGCTAGGTGGTACAGTGGATAGAGCACTGGACCTGTAGTCAAGAAGACCCCCAGTTCAAATTGGGTCTCAGATATTACTATTAGCTCTGTGATCCTGGGCAAGTCACTTAATCTTTGTATCAATTTCCTCAATTGTAAAATGAGGATAATAATAGCACCGACCACCTAAGGTTGCTGTGAGAATCAACTGAGTTATCTGTACACCACCTGGCACATAGTAGGCATGCAGTGGATAAAGTGCTGTGCCTGAAGTCAGGAATACAGATGTTGAGTTCAAATGGGCCTCAGACACTTAGTAGCTATGTGACCCTGGGCACGTCACTTAGCCCTATGTACCTCTGTTTTCTCATTTGTAAAATGAGCTGGAGAAGGAAATAGCAAACTACTCAAGTATCTTCGCCAAGAAAACCGGAAAGAACAACAAATAAATACTTTTCTTCCCTTCTTCCACTAGATCTATGATTCTATGCACATTACTGTATATGCTTAGCACTTAGTAGAGTGTCTGGCACATAGTAGGTACTTAATAAATGTCTACTGATTGATAGATATTAGTCACACAGCTTGTCCAGGTAGATGACCTCTGAAGTCTCTTCCACTTTTAGATCTATGAACCCCAGATGGAGCCTTCTGGGCCTCACATCCACATATATGAATTTCCTTTAATGGTTACTTTTAGGTTTTGTTTCCCACATTTCCTTTTTTTTTTTTTCTCATTTGGAAGTCTTGGAACAGTCAGCTTGTCAGAGTAGTTTAAGAGAGTCAGGATAAGGAGCTTTCAAGGCAAAAGCCACTTTTAAAAAATACATTTTCCTTCAAGCAGTTCCTGGAAAGAAAGGAATGCGGAAGGGAAGGAAAGAGTCCGCTTTCTTTCCTTACCCTTCCTCCTTGCATGCGCGAAGGCTTGAGTTGGAGGGATGCTCAATGCATATCGTCTTCTAACTCAGAGAAGCCCACGCCGCATGTTCCTTTCTAGCAGTCCCGATCCTCCTATAGGTTGGTTAGTTCTTTCGGGTGGTTTTTTTTGTCTTTTGTTTTTTTCTTTTTTTTACTTGAACACACTTAAGAGCTCGGGTGACATTGACAAGCCTGGCCCCAAGTCAAGACAGCTCTGCGCCGACTCGTGACTGTTCCCGGGGAAACCCCCCCCCCAGCCCAGACACCTGGGGCCCAATGAACCTGCAGCGCCCCGGGCGCGTGCAGGGGACGCCTCGTGGCGCCAGGGGGCGCCGAAGCGCGCCTGGCCCTTCGGACCGAGCGGCTGCCCTGCCCCACCACTTCAAGGGGGAAAAGGGAGTCAGGTGCGGGGCGGGGTGGGGCGGGGTGGGGAGTTTGGTCCCTCTCGCCGGCTCCGGTCCCCGCGGCGCAGGCGCAGTGTCCGATTCCTCCGACGGCTCCCCCAGCGCAGTGCGCCGAGCTGGGCCAGAAGCGGAGCGGCGTCGGCCGGGGGCAGCAGCGGCCCCGGCTTTCTCCCGTAGTCCCTGCGCCCCGGCGGGCGGGCTCGTGGCTGGGGGAGTCTCTCCGCGGGCGTTTCGGTCAGGTGAGTGTCAGCTTCAGCTCGAGGGGGAAAGGGGGGAGAGGGGGAGGGAGCGGGGCGCGCGGGGCGCGCCGCACGCGCGAGCCGCAGCACCGCCCCCTCCGCCTCCGCCCGCCCCTCGGAGCGCGGCCGCCGCCGTGGTGAGGAGGCGGCCGCGGAGGGGTCGGCGCGCGCAGCCGGACCTCAGACCCCGGACCCCCGCGGGCCTTGCTCGGGCGCCCTGCCGCGGAGCCTGGGCGCGGAGCGCCGCCGCTTCCCCCGGGGGCCCGCGGCGCCGGGCGGGCTCCGGCAGCGCCTCCCGCGGGCCCCCGGCCTCGCTCCGCAGGCGGCGGCGGTTACTGATTAACCCCCCGCCGGCCCGGGGCCGCCCAAGATGAAGTTCGAGGGCGTCTCCGAGAGAGAGACGTGCGTCCGAAAAAGAGGGGGGACCCTGTCTCTGCAGACTAGAAACTTGGGGTGTCCGACCCGGGGCTGGGCACGGCGACGAGCATTCACTTAGCACCTACTGTGTGCCGGGCTTTACAAACCAGTCAGTCAGCATTAATGATCGATCATGTCATTGGACCCTCCCCAATGGGTCCTAGCTGAGGGTTGTAAGCACACGCTTCTCCGGGTGCGGGAGGACCGGAGCAGCTTAAAGCGCCGCCTGAGGGGATTTCGTCTGCTTTTGCGGGGTGGGGTAGGGTAAGACCGGGAATCTCCTTGGAATGGAGAAGAAGGCCTTGTATTGGACCACCCCCACCCCCAGGTCCAGCCCCGACTCGTATCAGTGAGTTATCTGAAACTGAAGTCCTAGAGAGTGACCTGGGGGCATTGATCGGCTAAAGTGACTTGTCCAGAGTCGCACACTGCCCTCAGAGGGCTTGAACTCAGCTCCCTGCCTGCCAGCTGCCCTCTCCGTTTGTTAGGTCTTGTTGCCTCTGTCTATGCACGCTCCTGACTCTGGAGTCGGAAGACCTGGGTTCAAAAGCTGCTTCTGACAATTACTACCTGTCAAGTCATCCCAGTCTCTCTGGGCTTTGGTGTCCTCAGCTGTAAAATGAAAAGGAAGAGTTTAGGATAAGCTTTCTGGACCCTTTGAGCTCTAGAACTATGGTTCCGCATGGGTGGATAGAGACTGTACCTGGTTTCATTGGTGTAGAAAACTCCCGATAACAATGCTTATCTCTGCTATAGCCTCAGAGAATTGATTAGCTTATTGATTTGTTTGGTTGGTTGTTTTTTTTTTTTTTTTTGGTGAGACAGTTGGGGTTAAGTGACTTGTCCAGAGTCACACAGCTAGCAAGTGTTAGTGCTTCAGGCTGGATTATGAATTTAGGTCCTCCTGATTCCAAGGCTGTAGCTCTATCCACTGCGCCATCTAGCTGCCCCAATTGATTAGCTTATTGAGAGATTCTGACTACACACAGACCATATATGTGGAGACAAGACTTGAATTGGTCACTCTATGTCAGGGGTGAGACTCGAACTCAGACACTATATGTCAGAGATGAGATTTGAGGTTTTTTTTTTTAATTGTGAATCCTTTATTAATATGAACCTCTTTTTCTGAGTTTAATTTTTCCTTTGGGTTTTGAGCACACATGGCTGTAAACTCTGCATGAAGATCAAAATCTATAGGTAAACAAAAGTACCCAGAGAATAAAAAATATATACAACAAATATTATATATTTCTTATGTCTATTAAGAATTCACTTTTGAAAACAACACTCAAAAAATTACACACTCAAAAAAATTTCCTTCCCTTAAAGCATGCAGTTTTTCTACAGATAGACAAGCTCTTTATCCCACTACTCAATGCTGCTTAGTTTGTGTCAGGGTGCGCCATTTTGGATAAAAGAGCTTATTTGTATATGTCCATATATAAATAACCTTGGTAGGGTCTCCATATTTTTCATAAAGGATTTCAGTTTACCAGTCCGGGAACTTTATTTGTGACTCCTTTTTGGCAAGATCAAGTCACTAAGGCTTAGAGGTGACTCTCTTGAGGTTTCAGTGAGTCAGATTCCTGGTGGGAATAAGAACAGGGGAGAAATAAATAAAGCTTTTAATCTTAGGAAACTTTTCTGAGTGATAGAAGATGGGTAAAGGGAGGAACCATGGGCATGAACTTTGGCACTGGCATTTCACCCCTGAAGTGACTTTGTACAATTTTTAAATGGGAAGTTTGTAGAATGACTTACGGTTTTCACTTTCCATGGAGTATGAAATACCTGAAGGTTAATCAGGATATTTCAGTCCCTGAGAGGAAGGCAATATTAATTTGGAGGGAGTGTAGCAGTTGTCATTTGTATGTAGGCTGTCTGTATTGATTGAATCCTTTTCTGATTGTCACCTTCTTTTGTGTAAAATGGTTACATGATTTTTAGAGAGATATTGGGATGTTCCAGACTCCTAGGTGGCTAAATCCTTGTTTTCTCAAGGAGCACCTTTGTTTTTCCTTTTTATTCTGTTGCTCTTTTTTATTTTAAATTTAAATTTTATTTAGTTTTAATTAATTGAAGTTGAAGTTTAGTTATTTTTAATGATGACTTATTTACAAATTTGAGGAGAAAATAGCCTGGGTTTGGAGATCAGGCGTAGTAAACAATTGATGCTGTTAAATAGTATACCAGTTTTATAAGGTCTTCTTGTGATAACATTTGATATTTATTGCAGTGTGTCAGTGTTGCTTGGGCAGCATTTGTTGCATCTCAGAAATATGATTTCATGATGTGGTATGATGCTAAATGCTTCATAGAATTTATATTAATCATTGTGATAATTATAAAGTATTACTTCAGTATTTGAGTTTCTCTAGAAGAAAAAACCTTTTTGTTCTTGCTATTGGTTGTGCTATGAAAAAATGAGATATTGACATGCTCCTTTTTGGAGGAAAAACTTTCTGGAATATATCCATATGCATGTTTTATTACCTGAGTTTTATCACATGATAGCATTTTAAGGAAAAAGAAGTTCGTCATAGATCTTGTGATTAGTAAATAATTCACATTGTAGTACCAAATGACTCTACATTTTATTAGAATAAACTTAATTTCAACAGTGTTTGAGATAGCTCTACTTTTTAGAAATCAGTGAATTTCTTATTAGATCATACAGTAATTTGTGAATCAGTGTCCTAAATTCATATGCTGCCTCTACTTTATTTATGAATCACTATTGATAGATGTGGTTTCAATGCTGAATTGATCATAGGTTTATAGGATTTAGAGCTGGAAGAGACCTTGGAGACAGTCTATTTCAAGTCCCTTATTTTATGGTAGAAGTGAGGCACAGAGACAACAGAGTGAGGTAGATAGATAGATGCTCAAGGTCACGGCAGGTGGTTAAGGAAAGAGAGCTGGGACTCAAACCAGGTCTTTTGAGGATAAACCCTGTTTTCTCTATACATCTAAACTGTTTTTCCTTTTCCCTCCAAACCTCACACATATTTTTAAAATGGCAAAATGAATATACTTTGGGTCTGTCCTTTTCATCCTATGTGATTCTTCATGTCTTGGTGTAAATTTGGTGTAGAAGAGCTATCCAATGTGCTAGAGGTAATTCCTCTTTAAAAAAAAAAATTCATCAACAGCAGTGTTGTGCTAGGAATGTTCCTATTCTTTTGTTGTCAGTACATAGGGGGCCCACCTCCTACTCCAGTCACATAATAAACGGGCATTATTTAGCATGCTCTGTGTGCCAGGCACTGTGCTATGTGCTGGGGGAAAACAAAAACAAAAATGAAACAGCCCCTGACCCCTCAAGGAGCTTACGTTATATTGAAGGACACATTTTCACGTATGATTATGTACAACTTACATACAAAACAAATACAAGGACATTTTGTTCTTTTTTGTTTTATTTTGTTTTGTTTTTGGTCAATTCTTTCAATTTGTCATCCTTAAGTAGACAAAGCATTTATTAAATGGTTTCTGTTTCCCAGGCCCTGGGATGAAAATACATGCAAGCAGGTAGCCCTTGTCCTCAATGAGCTTAATTGTAACATGGGGAGAGAGTACGTAAAGATGAGCCTGGTTGGGGGGGGGGGGGGGAGAGCATGTCCTGGAGGTCTGGTCCCTGATAGATGAGGTCAGCGTTCGCCTCTCAAAGCCAGGCCCGAGATTTTGGTTAGGAAGTAATTAGTAACACGTTTCCCTCTTATACCTATCATATGTCTTTCCATGTCTCTTTGTGTAATCTGCAATTTAAGTATCTTGAGATCCTGCATTTCGTGATTGGCAACCATATTATATTACTAGGAGAATATTAATGTTAAATGACTTTAAATCAGAGGTTCTTTACCTGAAGTCTTTCAGGGTGTCAGTGAACTTGTCTGGGAAAAAAATTGAGTCTTTCTTTTAGTGTAGTTGGTTTCCTTTGCAATTCTGTGTATTTTATTTTATGCATTTAAAAATATTTTGAGGAGTCCATAATGTTTTACCAGACTCTTAAAATGATCTGTGATGCAAAAAGGTTAACACACCTGTTTTAAGTTAATGTCAGGCTCATAGTCTAGGAATTTTCCTAGACTCTTCACCCTTTCTCACCCCACCGTATCCAAGCTGTTGAGCCAAGTCTGCCGATTTCACCTTTGCAGCATCTCCTGTTTTTGTCACCTTCTCTCCTCTGTGGTTGCTTCCAGTCTAGTGCAGGCCCTCATCACCTCACACTTGGACTATCAAAAGAGCCTGCGGATGAGTCTGCCTGCTTCAGGTCTCTCCCCACTCCAATCCATTCTTTATTCAGCTGCCAAAGTGATTCTCCTAAAGCACGTTCATGTCACCTTTCTACTCGATAAACTCCACTAGGCTCCCTTTTGCTTCTAGGATCAAATACAAAATACTCTCTTTGGCATTCAAAACCCTTTATAACCTAGCTTCCTGCTACATGTCCAGTCTTCTTACCCTTTATTCTCTGAAGAATACTCTTTGATCCAGTGACGTGGACCTCCTGGCTGTTCCAGGAACGAGCCACTCCATCTCTGGCTCCAGGCATTTTCTCTTACCTGTCCCCCAGGTCT